TCAAGGCAGTTGGACATAGTGGTGTATTAGAGGTAAAAAATTATATAAATACTGTTCGGTTTCTGGCACAAACCGATCGTTTCGTGTCTTAGGACATCATGTTGGCGCCACGAGCCACAGGGTTTAATTTGGATTTGTCTGTGCATGTTTTTTTTACTCTCATAGATTTTGTTACCGTTGCCATGCATTATACGACTGATAGACTGCAGGTCTACGGCAAGTCGGAACATCCAGTTTGCAAGAGCACAAAGATGGCAAGGACAGCCCTTACAATTCTAGATATAAGGGAAAAAATGCCACTGAATGAGCTTTTGTCTCATAAAGTTATCACACGAGTCATGAATGAGAGACAAATATTGTCCTATCCTAACAAATACATCAATGGAAAGCTTATTTATTCAGCTTTCAGATGATGTATAAATCTCAATTTCGAAAAATTTGCCCTCATGACTGGTTTTGTGGTCCAGGGTCACATATATACATTATATTTGCACGTTTGTTTCAGGAGTTCTGTGATGGTTGGCTGGCTTAGGACACAGATAAGGCTCGGTATATGAAGCAGAGCACAGTATGGAGTCCTCCTGTATGGAGAGGATTGAGAAGGAGCTGGTGGATGGCCAGGGATTCATCTCCTGTGACTCTTATGCCACGGCAGCAGCCATAGACCACACATATGTCATTGAAACTGAACACAAAGCAGTCACTGTAGAGCTGGCGGGGAATGATGGTTGTCGATCACCTCGACATCCTGAAGAAGACTCACAAAGCCCACATCTTGAAGAAAGTGGACTTGGAGAGGTTTAAAGTGCTCATGATGAATGCTTTGAAATAAATGATCATTAGCAGGCATAACATAGCACATTTTTATGAACATCTTTGTGGAAAATTGTTTGATACTGGCTACTTAATCAGATTCACTTTTTTATCAAAATCATAAAATCATTCATACAGAAATGCTAGTCACCTGTTGAATGAGATATAAATTACATTTAGTTAAATAAACTACTAATGTTTTGAATATTGTTCTCTTTTGTGGATCCAGTGATTTTATAAGCGATCGTTCAGAACTGGAAATCCGTTTTATTTGATGATTTCTGGTGTTGATGCAGTTCATCATGTTCCCAAATAAGCATTATGAGTCAATGACAACTCACATTTTCACAAGACAAATTTGCTTAAAAAGCATACTATTTACACATTTGAGAGCATGTCTTGGCATCTTGATACAAAACATGTTATTCACATTAAAGGCGTTATTCAGTATCCCTTTCTGCCTCGGAATCGAGATCGGGTGTCCAGCTATAATAAAAGGAGAAGGAAAAGGCTTTTATTATACAGTAAATACATTCTGACATTATCACTCTGACTTGTTAACATGTATATATATATGAATTTGGACTCTTGTAAATTTACGTCTTTAATATTAACTGAAAGGGTTCCCTGTATAGTTTACCTCATTTAGCTGAGAGCTTGTTTTCCTTGTCTGAACTGTACATTAATCGGAATCAAATCGATTTTTTTTTTAAGGAGTTCAAACAAGAAAATTGTGCATAATTTAAACAGCAGATGTACTACTGACCATGGATCTCTTGCACTCAAAGAAAGCCACATGCAAGCCTTTGCAATGTCCTTCCTTCAGACACTCACTGGGCTTCTTACCCTCCTGTGACACAAACAGAGACCATCATTATTTAGATAGCTGGGGGGGGGAACATAACTTCCGTTCACGTTCTGCCAATGAGTTTTTAAGGCATATGGATCAAACGGCTTATTTCTATTATGCAGTAGCTTTTGTAGTTAAGTGCACACCAGACATCAGAAATATGCTCTGGTTAAACTCACGCACTGTTATTAACAAAAAATTACAACAACAATCAATCAATCAAAGTTGTCGTGAGAGGCATGATAGATCAGTCAGGCTGAAGGCAATACTTCATATTACCTTCGATGTTATTCACATTAAAGGCGTTATTCAGTATCCCTTTCTGCCTCGGAATCGAGATCGGGTGTCCAGCTATAATAAAAGGAGAAGGAAAAGGCTTTTATTATACAGTAAATACATTCTGACATTATCACTCTGACTTGTTAACATGTGCACTTAGCTGTAGTTTAGTTGGTTTGAAACCGCTATAAAAAATGAAATGAAATTAGACTAAATTGCATATATAATTACATATTATTAAATAATAACAATAAGAAAATGTTACTTCAAATAAAAATGAGCTGAAATAATTTGTAAAAATCAGTTTAAGATGTATGACAGTCACGGTTCAAATTTTTATATTTTAACATTGAATGAGAGAAACAAATATACTATGTTAAGTTGATAATATTTTAAATGTTTGTATACAAAAATTTTTGTAATGTTTGTACACAACTCATTATTGACCGCGGCCATCGTCCTCTTTATCCTCGTAATATTTGGGCATTCTGTAGAGCTTTCATCCGAGCAGGTTTAAGCGAAATATGGGATGAGGCAAATAGAACACAACAGCTTGCCTACAGATAAGTCAAATGTGAAATTTTAATGAAAGCGGCCATGTTACGTATGACGTATATAAGGGAGTGGAACAGAGGTGCATTGTGGGAATAGTAGTTCGCAAATGTTCCATTTGCTCGCGCTTACAAACTTCAGCACTGCTGCAAAGATTTTATTGAAAATAGTGTTAAATGACGCCATTTTATACTGTAAACAATTACGCATCGATTTCAATAATGTATGGTATTAAGTACTGTATTTGACTGTCATATAGCCTAGCAGTGTGAAGCATTGATATTGACCAGAAGATGGCACTAAAATAATGCTTTTGTCGTATATTATCACGTTTACATTGGCACCTAGAGACTTGAGCAACACATAAAATCTATCGATATCATTGCATTTGTCAAATTGTGGCAGTTATTTTAAAGAAACACAGCATTTTCAGGGAAAATGTTTGAAAATATGTGTACTGTACTGTAAGACAAAAGAGTTTGAATAACTTGGAACATATTGTTAGTCCAGTTGTATCACTGTAAAAATGGTTAGCATTTTGTTTGTAAATTGGTTTGATATTTCCATTCCAGATTTAATATAATACAACTGTACACTAAAAAATATATAGGCCTAAATTTAAGATTTATGTATTTGAATGGCATATAAAATCTCTAACCATTTGGATTACAAAGCTTTAACAAACAGATTAATAAACTTAATGTGATGCATACTTGTCAGATATACATTTTAAAAAATGAAAAAGGTGAGATATCTGCACCCAAAAAAAAAAAAATAATAAATCGGCATAGTTGATTTTATTTTAATTCATTTTATTTGATTTTATTTAAATAATCATTTCAAAATGCATTTATTCAGATTGCTCAGAATCTGTTCATTGTGAAAGCAATTAAATGGTTTATTTTGGAACAGTTTATTCAAATCAGTGTCAGAGCTGGAGAAAGACAGATGAAGGCACATGAAAGTCAAGAATGCACCACACAAGAGGAGCACATTTCATGTCGGATTCATCTCAACGTAAGACCGAAGGGTGGATTTCAAGATGGACATGCACTGATCCCAGATGGGAAACCGGCCCATGAGAGTTTAACGAGAGGGCAATGGATAACAATCCATCTTTCAGTGCTAAAACAGGTGTGGAAACAGATCATTGAGCACAAATCTGACTAAAAAGGCAGCAGTTCGGCAAAACACTGAAAACCACTCCATTGTGGTTTCACCAGTCCATTCCCCAGAAGTCACGTCACATGATGTAAAGGAGAATGATGATACAGTGCTCTACACTCCAACCAAGGAGAGATCATAAACAAACTGTAAACAAATGGTTATGACAGTACATTGGCTTTCTATTAAAAAAACACACACTGCTCAAGTACTGCGATTCACATCCCGCTCCAAGTAGTCACTAAAATGAAGGTGTATGTATGTATAAAGGATATGCTCTGAAACTTGAAGCATCAAGGATTATACAATGACACATTATGTCAGACTGAACTAAAACTTCCATCTTATTAAAGATATATACAATCACATGAGATGAGAGCACTTCTGAAAATAGCTGTAAATTTAGCAGTTCGATTCCATTTCCATTATAAATCTATGGTTCTGGAAATATTTTGCTCCTGACCAGGTCCACACAGAATCTGCACCTGCAGAACTCCACAGAAAGCTTTAAACGGCCGTCATTCATGAAGTTCTGCGTGGTTTTACATATTGTGGCTTATTTGATTGTTGCAGAGTCAAGTGGACAAGGCGATGAAAAAAAGAAATACAAAACTTTTTCATTATCTAGCAAAACTTTTGCATTCACTCGCAAAGTATTGAAATATAGTTCTTGGTCCTACCTTATATTTCCATCACAAAAGTTTAGCAAGCAAACACTTCTTTTTTGTCAGGAGACGCAAACATTTCGGAGAACACAAAGTTTGTTGGTGGAATGCGAACATTTTGTGAGAGAAGCAAAGCATCACCATGTCCATTTAGGGTCTCCGTAGATTGTGCTTTCAGATACGTAGTACCCTCAGCTTCCTTAAATCACATTTCACCACATTTAAATTCGTTCGGTGCAGAAAAAAAATCAGCAGATTCCATCTGGACTTCATCACGACTCACTGAACATTCAGATAAGTATCTTATGAATACAGCATAGAAAGGAGAACTTTTCTGACAGACATGATGAAAGCGGACTATTTGAGATGGAAAATGCTCAATGAACAAATGAAGACATGAAAGATTCTGAAACATAACCACGGACATGCCATGCTCTAAACTTGAACGTCTCACTTAAATCAAGCATCTAACAAACTGTCCTATTGTATGATTTAAGCGTTTTGACACAGGGCACAAGGCAGTCCTTTACCAGGCCCTCTACTGGGACGCTGGATGTTAAGGCACAGAGGTGGGCGGCCCTGCACCCTTCTCAACTACACAAAGATACAAACATCAACCATCACTCGACTTTAAGCCACAATAAATTCTCTGCCACATCATACATTTCCAAAGAATATATAATAAAACATTTACCTTTTGTACAAATTAAAGATTTATTTCAAATAAATTAATTCACCTTCATAGATCGTCATAATAATAATAACAGCAATTAAAAACTTTCCGATTGAAAGCCATGATTGATTCGTTGACACTAAACCAACACAGAGGAAGAAAAGCCACTTCTGTTGACCAGAAAACATATGCTGTTTGTTTTTAGATTTTGGCAAAGCAGTCAATAAAATAATAAACTGGTCTTGAAATGTTCTTAAAAGAGTGTCAGACACCAACGGCCTAAAACCTAAAAATTTCTTTCAACCCACTCGTTCATCTCTAAGCTGAAATCCAGCCGTGTTTATCTGACCCAAATTTTATGGTCAGTTACAGTACATGACGGCAGAGCGCTGAGGACATTCTTCATCAGTAGGGGATATTAACTTATTATCCAGCATTGGTGCAGCTTTGAATCCTGAACGTCAAACCTTAATGACAGCGATGATTGCAATTCTTCACGACACAAATTTAGTGTCTGGAAACATTGTCAAAAAGTGTTTGTTTGTTTTTTTTCTGTACAGTAGTAGTCACATTCACACAACAGAATTCAGGGGAAAGTTAAAGGTCAAACGAAGTCTGACGACAGAGGCCAAGGCAAGTAGAAGAGAAGAGAGAATGTCAAAACTACCAGAGGAAGACGAAAAAAAGAGGAAAAAGTCAAGTTTAAGAGGTGAAGAACATAAAGCCAGGGTTCCTCCACGCACTCTGATAATGTGAGGGTCACTGGATCCGCTGGAGATGCGAGCAGCACGTCCCTGTCTAGGTGACCAGAGGGCCTCAAGCACTGGAGACATTCAGGTAGTTACCCAGGTATCCTCTTGATATGGATCTGACAACAAACACCAAAAAACATCTGTCAAGAACCAGGCATATGAAGAACATCATCTATGCACATCACCAAAAAAAACAACAACAACAGAATATGTTAATTACAATACGTCAAGTTTCAAGCAACACTTTTATTGTCCAGTCAACTGCGTTCTGATTTTGGACATATGAGATGTCCACATCAAAATGTCCTCATGTGCCAGACAGTGTTGACTGTTATGGCTGGTTATGACAAACAATGCAAAACATAGAAGGGGTATGATATATGGCTTGATGCTTTGTCAAAACACTTCTAAATTTCCACATTTTCAATTGTAGTCATTTATGTAATAACACGTAACATTGTAATGACATGATAACATGTTTAAACTGAAAAATATGATCTTTTATAAGCTGACGTTCCACTGGAATGAAAACATTGTTGGCAGTTTTGAATGCATTAAGTACAGTGTCAGGTCTATAAGATATTCAGTAACTGTAGATATGATCCAAATGATTCACAGTACATGAGTGAAGAGGGAGAGAGCATGTGATTGGTCTAGGGTTGGACAGTATAAACAAAACTCAAATGTGACCCTGGACCACAAAACCAGTCATAAGGGTCAATTTTTCGAAATTGAGATTTATACATCATCTGAAAGATAAATACGCACGCTTTCCATTGATGTATGGTTTGTTAGGA